CGACAGTCTGTCTCATTTCCTTTCCCTCTTCACAGGGTGGACTGTTGATGCCAATTCCTTCTGCTGGCTTTACGGAATATCCGGGTGCCCCAGATGTTGACCTCTTAGCATTATTGTGATCTCGGTGTCTGCCACTTTCCATGGCTCCGTTCCCGACTGTGAGGCTTTTGCGGTAAACGTCTTTTGGCAGGATTGGTCAGGCTGTTGCTCCGGGTTCTGGCACATCTTCCAAGGGAGTGATTCTTCTGGCTCTTAGGTGGCCAGCCTAGCCTTTGTTTCAGGTGCTGCTTACAGTGTCTGAACCTGGGCACTTTTCTGCAACTCTGGCTTTATTAGAGGGTCGGATAAGTGATGTACCATGCTGGTTCGGCCTTCTCTTCCGCTCTTTGAGCCTGGCGTGTTGACACGTGTGGCTCTCTCTCTCTATGGTGACCAGATGGCTTGTTATTGGTGTCCCATCTGTGGTTCTTCTGGCTACAGTTGGTTTCTTGGCGGTCTTTTCGCCGTTTTCTATCCCTTCATCATTGTTCTTTGGTTCTGGTGAGTTGTGTTGCCCTTTCTTTCTGGCTGTTTCTTGGTCAGCGTCGTTTGTTGAATGCTGTCGCTTCTTCTGCGGCGTTGGTGGAGCTGCTCCAGCTTGCATTTGGGGTTGTCGAGTCCTTGTCCTGTTTTGCATGATTCAGTTGCTGTTTTACCTCTGGCCTGCTTGTGCAATGCCTGACCTGGAGCAGGGTCTGGTTGGGTTGAGACTCGGGTGGTCTCGGGGGCTTTATTCTTCCGGGGTGGCGGTGGGGGCATTCGAGTTTGTTCCTCCAGCCGTGCTGTATGGGTCTGACCAGTGGGCTCCCTTTCTTAGTGCTTATGCGGCTGCCCCGGCTTTTCCTAGTGAAGCTAGGGCTTTGGGGGTGCGGCTCAGCCCCGGGTCTTGCCGTAGAGGTTCCCGAGGTTGGGGTGGGGTTGCCTGGGGGGGAGCCTCGGCCCCGTTTTGCCCCGCTTGGGTCTTTGTACCCCTCGGTGCGGGGCTGGCAGTTCCTCAGAGTGGGGTTGTTCCTTCCCCCTCTGCGTTCGTGTTGGTTCGGGTCTACCCCTCCCTGGGTTCGGTTCAGTGTCCCTTCGGGTCCATCGGTCCCGTCATTCCTAAGTGTGTGTTTTGCCCCCCTTTTCCTCACCCTTTTCGCGCTTACGTCTTGATATTGTTCCCTTCGTATCGGGGTACATGTGTCCCTTGATCAGGGGTGTCTTTATCCATATGTACCTCCGTGCATTTGTGCTGGCTTGTCGTGGTTCTCGTTGATTCGCGAACCTCTTTGTACCTTCCAATATTCTTGAAACGTTTTTCGTTACATATGCCTTTCTGGTGTTTGTACATTATGTGCATACGATATGTCTGTATGTTATGTGTATGTACGATATGTGTATGTCCGCCTGGTGTACGAGCCGCGCCACCTGGTGGACAAGTGGTGCAGTTCGTACCTCGCACGCTGGGGCTGGGGTGTTGGTTTCGTTTTCTGGGTGGTGTACTCGTGTGTTCTGCGTCATTCATCACGGTTTTCTACGGCTTCTTGCTCGTTTTCTCTCTCCAGTCATAGCCTTCTAGATGCTGGGGGTGTTCTGGATTTTACATATGGGAACGTCCGGGTGTGGGGTGGCTCGGCGTGGTGCCGCCTCCGCCTCTGTTCTGCGCTTCGTCTTCTGCTGGGCGCGCACCTCTGGACATATTTCACCTTCGACTTCAACCTTTTATTCAGGTAACGGTACATACAATGCCTACAGCCTCTAGTACGCATGGCGTTTCGGGCAAACCACTAACGATGCTCCTGGTATATTACTCTGCTCGACTGTGTTGTGGCACGATCGTGTCTCCGCTCTCCAGGTGAGGTTGTCCTGTCTGGCGACTGTCGGCCAGGTGCTGGTTCCCGACTTTTGGTGGGGTACTTGCCTGGTTGTGCTTGCGGGGGTTGAGCTTTGGCTCGTTGGTCCTGCCTCTCCACTGTCGTTCGGCAGGAGTGCAGTTTCCAGAGCCTATTGGGCTCTATCTTCTCTACATTTGCTCCTGTGTGTGGAGTCTGCCTCCTTCGCATTGCTTCCTAGTGCATTCCATTTCCTACCTTCTCTGACATTGCTCAGGTTCTTTTTAATGTCTGTGGCTCATTGGGTACTCGGCTTCCTCCAGTGTCCCCTTATGCATGTCCCCACTCTTGGTCACTACACTATCCTTGTTTGCTCTGTCACTTCCCTGCTTGACAGGGTTGCATCAATGGCTCCTCACAGGGGGTGTTGTGTGTTTTGTTTGGACACCTTGCGCGTGTCTTCAGTGACTTTACTTTGTCCGTGTATCTTGTTCTTCGTTGTCCTGTGGGGCAATGCCCCGCATTTCGGTGCCTTTTGTTTCGTTTTTCGGCACCTGGGTCTTTTTCCTATGTGTGGACACGCCTTCGTTCCCCTGGTCCATATTTGTGTCCTCCTTCATTGCTTGGTCTCTGATCTCTGGACACTCATTCCTTGCCTATCTTCGGTGCCTGACTGCACCATGATATCCATGGGGTCCCTCGGTGTATGTGCGCCCTCCACTACACACTTGGTAGTTGGTCGTGTACATTGTGTTGCTGACTGCTACTTGGTCCATATTTGGGGTTTTTCCTTGACCATTTCCGATTTTCCTCCTATGCTACACTTGACTGTGTATCTGGGTCGGTGCTTATTGGCTATACTGGTTCTCAGGTGGGCCTTTGTCCATGTTCAGTTCCCTGCTTTTGTACTACCCTGGTGTTCTGTTTTGGCACCGAGTTTCTTCACTTTTTCTTTGTATCTCACTGCAGGCTTCTGTGTTGCGCTGTCTGTGGGGGTTGTGGCCTTTCGGTCCACCGCTCCTGCCCTATTGGTTCCTTTTCTTGGGTCGGGTAGCTGGGATTCCTGTCCTGGCTCCGGCTGTTTGTTCTTTTTCCGGAACGTGTGTGTTTGTTTTCCTGCGGTTCACGTCCTGCTTAGTTCTCCTCCTGGATACCTCGGGGACGTGTGCATCATTCTTCCTTGCTGGAGCTGGTTGCGTTTCTCCTTGGGTTGCGGGGTCGCTGTTTTTTGCTTCGCGTCTCGCGCTTTTGTTTGTTGTGCTCGTTTTTCCTTGTTGGCATCTGCCTGGGCCCTGGCTTAGGCAGATGTCTGAGCCAGGGTATTTGGTGTTTGGCCTTGTTGGTCATTCAGGGGGCCTGGGGGGGGGGGATTCCTCTCGAATAGGGTGTTTTCTGCTCGCCCGGGTTGGTTCTTTTTCGGCTCGCTGGGATTGGCTTCCTTGTTTTCCTGGCGGTTGTTCCGTTTGGTTTTGCCTGCCTTGGCAAGACCTGCTGCTTTACTCGGTTCCGGTCCTGTGGGTCTTACCGCAGCTCCGGCTCTTTTTGTGGATCGGTTTAGCTCTGTACAGGGCTGGTTCGTTCTTCCCCTCGAGTTTTCGCGTCTCGGGTTTTTGTCTCTAGCTTCTCGTCGCTTGTGTGGGCGCTGGTGGCTTCGTTGTTGGTCTCCCACCTGTGTGCTTCATCTCGGGGGCGGTGTGTTGTTTCCCTGGCCTTCCGGTTTTTCTATCTCTGCAAAGGGTCCTACAGTCTCTAATAGGGTTGGCTCATCTTTCCTTCGTGGTTGTTCCGGGACCGTCGTTTGGGTCCATGTACTGTCGCCTCGTCTTGGGTGGTGCTGGCGGAGCCACTCCAGCTTGCGTTCGGTGTTGCTGTTCCTTCTGCTCCATTCCGCTTGCTGTCTTGGGCGTGGTTTGCCTCCAGCCTGCTCTTGTGTTTCCGGTACCATCCTGGTCTTTGGCCCGGGTGGTCTCTTTTCTTCTTCTTCTGCTTTTGGTCCTTGGGTTGCTGCTTGGTTGGTCAGGCCGGGGGTGCTTGCTTTGTTGTTCGGTTGTGTTTTTTTCGCTGTTCTCTGCGCGTCTTGGCCCCTGGGGTCATGGATGCGTTTTGGTTGACCGCGTTCTCTTTCTTCCTGCATTCCTGTTCTGGGGTTTTTTTGGTCTGTGGCCTGGGTTTTTTAGGTTAGGTGTCCGCCTCCCGTATCCTTTCCTATTTTTCCTATCTGTGGTGAGGTAGCTCCGGGGAGCCGACGGGGCTCCCCCCAGAAAACCAGTGTTGAATGTAATGAAACGCCATTTTCTGGGTGAGTCCCGGAGGCTCCCCGGCACCCCTCCCTCCCTCCCACTGGTCGGCGGTGTTTTTTTTGCGTATTTTGACATCCAGCCTAAAAACTGCCAGTTGGATCGCCGGCGCGGATGGTCTGGGGCTCCCCCTTTCCCCTCCCGGGGAGGAGGGGGGATTGCACAGATGGCGGCGCGGCGACGTGATGACGTCATAATAGTTCGATAATTTTGTTTGGGGCATTTTGTCCACTTGTTCGGTTTTCGGTAGCAATATTTTCACCAGAATAGAGGTTTGTTTTGGAGCGCCTTCCTTTCTGGGTTCCTATTCCGGTCGATGGCAGACATAGAATGCTCTCAAACACAGTTTTTTTTTTTCTATAGGTTATTGCTCCTCGTGCCTCTCTGAGGGGGTCAGGTTCTGGCTCGTGGTCCTGGGTAGGCAAGAACTCCAAACACTTTGACTGGTGCCAGAAAGTTATACATATCCATTGAGCCTGGATAGCTCCGGGGAGCCTCTGGGACTCACCCAGAAAATGGCGTTTCATTACATTCAACGCAGGTTTTTTGTACAAACACAATCATACTGTTAATAAGATAGTTTTGGCCTAATATTCAAATTGATATAATTTGATTCAAGTAATTGTTGACTTAACCTTGTGCATAATGATTGGTAGAGAACTACAGTACTGTATTACCGGGGGTTCATTTGCACACATTCTTTCCCAAACAGTATCTGTTGGAATAATTTTGTCATAAGTGAGTTTATTTGCGATGTGAACACTTACTTTGTCTTTTATCTGATATATATTTCAGTGTAATATCTCATTAATTACAGAAAACACATGAAAATTGTCTTTTTAAATGTTTTCAGGCAATGTCCAGTGGAGAAGTAGTTGGAGCCATCGTCTGCAAGTTAGATGTGCACAAGAAGGTGACTGTGAGAGGATACATCGCCATGCTTGCTGTTGATCACAGGTTCAGAAAGAGAAAAATAGGTGAGATTTTACATACATCAATTTTTCATTAACTATTAAGAAAGTTAAGACAGGTTAACCACTGCACTGCACATAGTGCCTTATGGTGCTCGACTGATGGTGCGCACAGTGCTTTCAGGCACTAATAGCTATATCAAAAAGTTAGAAACTCCCACACAAACACAGGCTTGATTAGCTTTCTCAAGCCTCCAGTTACCAATCCCCATCTTGAGAAAAAATCATGAGTCCCTCACTTTCATTCTAGGGCCTTAGTAAAAAGATGAGGGCCATGTCTGCCTCATCACCATCCAGTGTCTGAACATGCTGGGCAGCCATACTAGGAACCACTGAACTTTTTACATCAGCAAATGAGTGATTGCCATGTATATATTTCAGGCAAAATGTGTGTTATGTGAAATTATAAGATGTAGGCTTACATATCGTATATATTTCTCACATTAGTATGATTAAATATATGGTTATCTTGAGGTTATCTCAAGATGATTTCGGGGCTTAGTGTCCCCGCGGCCCGATCCTTGACCAGACCGCCTTTTTGTTACACCCCCCCCCCCCCCCCCCCCCCCAGGAAGCAGCTCATAGCAGCTGTCTAACTCCCAGGTACCTATTTACTGTTAGGTAACAGGGGCATCAGGGTGTAAGAAACATTTTGCCCATTTGTCTCTGCCTCCACCGGGGATCGAATCCGGGACTTCAGAACTACGAATCCGAAGAGCTGTCCACCCAGCTGTCAGGCGCCATGGTGTGCATATATTTCAGTCCATCCTCCAGTTTTGGTAGTACTGTACTTATAGTAACGATGAGGGCCATAGTATATGTACCGATGAACAACGAAATTAGAAAATTGAAATCGGCACTATTGAGTTGGACAAACCTGGAAACTATTTTTTTTACTTGTGTTGCAAAGCCAAACTAATCTTACCTAACCTTTCTAGGCTTAATACACAATACTGTATCAGACCTAAAATAGTACATAAGGGTGCTATATACTAGACATAGAAATATTTAAGTCCCCCCCTCCCTTTTTTTCCCCTCTTTTTCTCTCTCTCTCCCTTACTAGCCAAGTTATACATAGTGAACACCACTTTTGACACATCAATACAGCTTGTTAGAACAAAAAAATAAATAAAGAGGGAAACAATGACAATAAATCAACAGTTATTCCTATGCGGCACCTCACGTCATTTTTACAAAAAAATGCAACTTCTCATGAGCCACTACAGCTAAACCACAAGAGCTAGAGACTTTTTACTTGGATTTTTTTGCTTCCTGTATGCTAACTAATGTCAAATGAGAAAAACAAATCAGGACAGTTTTTTCTGCGTGCCACAGGGAAAGTCAAAATTAACAAGTGTGCAGTGCAGGGGGTTAAACCTTGTGTGACGTTACAAAATAGACAAGATCATGCGGTTGCATGGGCGATTTAAGACTTGCGAGTTGCCATAAATATATTTTCATCATTTTTTCAATGCATTTTCATTGCTTTCTAATTGTTTTATTGTATCTGGTGCACATTTGTGTCCTTTACAATATGTACACAGTAGAACGTTTATAATGTGATACATGTTACTGTGTACTAGTACTGTGATACATGTCACTAATGTGTCCACTAAAATTGTTTGTCAGAATATTACTTGATCAAAATTCAGTTTATTTACATTATGTACACTGTCACACACTGACAGACAGACAGACAGACAGACAGACAGACAGACAGACAGACAGACAGACAGACAGACAGACAGACAGACAGACAGACAGACAGACAGACAGACAGACACACAGACACACAGACACACAGACACACACACACCTGAGGACCTCATAAAGAATATTGTGCAAGGAGCCTATGCTATGCTTTCTAACTTCAGAATTGCATTTAAATACATGGATGGCGATATACTAAAGAAATTGTTCATGACTTTTGTTAGGCCAAAGCTAGAATATGCAGCTGTTGTGTGGTGCCCATATCTTAAGAAGCACATCAACAAACTGGAAAAGGTGCAAAGACATGCTACTAAGTGGCTCCCAGAACTGAAGGGCAAGAGCTACGAGGAGAGGTTAGAAGCATTAAATATGCCAAAACTAGAAGACAGAAGAAAAAGAGGTGATATGATCACTACATACAAAATAGTTACAGGAATTGATAAAATCGACAGGGAAGACTTCCTGAGACCTGGAATTTCAAGAACAAGAGGTCATAGATTTAGACTAGCTAAACACAGATGCCGAAGAAATATAAGAAAATTCACCTTCGCAAATAGAGTGGTAGACGGTTGGAACAAGTTAAGTGAGAAGGTGGTGGAGGCCAAGACCGTCAGTAGTTTCAAAGCGTTATATGACAAAGAGTGCTGGGAAGACGGGACACCACGAGCGTAGCTCTCATCCTGTAACTACACTTAGGTAACACTTAGGTAATTACACACTCAGCATTCCACTTCACCTGATCTTTCAGGCATCCCTGTATACAGGAATCGTAGCAGACGGGTGGAAACAGGCTAACATAGTTCCAATCTACAAAAGTGGCAGCAGGGAAGACCCCCTCAATTATAGACCTGTATCATTGACAAGTGTAATAGTGAAAGTATTGGAAAAACTAATCAAAACTAAATGGGTAGAACACCTCTAGAGAAATGATATAATATCAGACAGACAGTATGGTTTTCGATCTGGAAGATCCTGTGTATCGAATTTACTCAGTTTCTATGATCGAGCCACAGAGATATTACAGGAAAGAGATGGTTGGGTTGACTGCATCTATCTGGACCTAAAAAAGGCTTTTGACAGAGTTCCACATAAGAGGTTGTTCTGGAAACTGGAAAATATTGGAGGGGTGACAGGTAAGCTTCTATCATGGATGAAAAATTTTCTGACTGATAGAAAAATGAGGGCAGTAATCAGAGGCAATGTATCGGAATGGAGAAATGTCACAAGTGGAGTACCACAGGATTCAGTTCTTGCACCAGTGATGTTTATTGTGTACATAAATGATCTACCAGTTGGTATACAGAATTATATGAACATGTTTGCTGATGATGCTAAGATAATAGGAAGGATAAGAAATTTAGATGACTGTCATGCCCTTCAAGAAGACCTGGACAAAATAAGTATATGGAGCACCACTTGGCAAATGGAATTTAATGTTAATAAATGTCATGTTATGGAATGTGGAATAGGAGAACATAGACCCCACACAACCTATATATTATGTGAGAAATCTTTAAAGAATTCTGATAAAGAAAGAGATCTAGGAGTGGTTCTAGATAGAAAACTATCACCTGAGGACCACATAAAGAATATTGTGCAAGGAGCCTATGCTATGCTTTCTAACTTCAGAATTGCATTTAAATACATGGATGGCGATATACTAAAGAAATTGTTCATGACTTTTGTTAGGCCAAAGCTAGAATATGCAGCTGTTGTGTGGTGCCCATATCTTAAGAAGCACATCAACAAACTGGAAAAGGTGCAAAGACATGCTACTAAGTGGCTCCCAGAACTGAAGGGCAAGAGCTACGAGGAGAGGTTAGAAGCATTAAATATGCCAAAACTAGAAGACAGAAGAAAAAGAGGTGATATGATCACTACATACAAAATAGTTACAGGAATTGATAAAATCGACAGGGAAGACTTCCTGAGACCTGGAATTTCAAGAACAAGAGGTCATAGATTTAAACTAGCTAAACACAGATGCCGAAGAAATATAAGAAAATTCACCTTCGCAAATAGAGTGGTAGACGGTTGGAACAAGTTAAGTGAGAAGGTGGTGGAGGCCAAGACCGTCAGTAGTTTCAAAGCGTTATATGACAAAGAGTGCTGGGAAGACGGGACACCACGAGCATAGCTCTCATCCTGTAACTACACTTAGGTAATTACACTTAGATGATTGTCATGCCCTTCAAGAAGACCTGGACAAAATAAGTACATGGAACGCCACTTGGCAAATGGAATTTAATGTTAATAAATGCCATGTTATGGAATGTGGAATAGGAGAACATAGACCCCACACAACCTATATATTATGTGAGAAATATTTAAAGAATTCTGATAAAGAAAGAGATCTAGGGGTGGTTCTAGATAGAAAACTATCACCTGAGGACCACATAAAGAATATTGTGCAAGGAGCCTATGCGATGCTTTCTAACTTCAGAATTGCATTTAAATACATGGATGGCAATATACTAAAGAAATTGTTCATGACTTTTGTTAGGCCAAAGCTAGAATATGCAGTTGTTGTGTGGTGCCCATATCTTAAGAAGCACATCAACAAACTGGAAAAGGTGCAAAGACATGCTACGAAGTGGCTCCCAGAACTGAAGGGCAAGAGCTACGAGGAGAGGTTGGAAGCATTAAACATGCCAAAACTAGAAGACAGAAGAAAAAGAGGTGATATGATCACTACATACAAAATAGTAACAGGAATTGATAAAATCGACAGGGAAGATTTCCTGAGACCTGGCACTTCAAGAACAAGAGGTCATAGATTTAAACTAGCTAAACACAGATGCCGAAGAAATATAAGAAAATTCACCTTTGCAAATAGAGTGGTAGACGGTTTGAACAAGTTAAGTGAGAAGGTGGTGGAGGCCAAGACCGCCAGTAGTTTCAAAGCGTTATATGACAAAGAGTGCTATGAAGACGGGACACCACGAGCGTAGCTCTCATCCTGTAACTACACTTAGGTAATTACACACACTCTCACTCACTCACTCACTCACTCACTCACTCACTCACACTCTGTATTACACACATTTGTGTACATTAAATTAAATACATTACATGTATTTAAATGAGAGCAGGAATGAAGAAGAAATAAATTCTTTTTTCTACAAAGTGATAGGGGTAGGAAAATCAGTAAAGTGGTACATAAAGGCAAACCAACAAAATCAATAGAGAGAGGGGGAGTGAAGAATAAGGAGAGGGGGAACAAGTTCCTGAAGATTGCATACACCAACATAGATGGAGTGAGATCGAAGATACTGGAGTTAAGTGATGTAATACAG